GACGCCGGCAGTTAAACCCTAACTAAGATTGATGTGCCTGCTGTGTTTGACAACTTCCCTTCTATGCAGAAAAGTGCAACATTTCTCTAAGACCTTGACATGGGCGCTTCTCTGTGTGTGTGTGTGTGTGTGTGTGTGTGTGTGTGTGTGTGGAGGGGGGCAGTTTTTCTAAAACCCTCCCACATTCCCGTTCCACATCATTCCCACAATCCGACGCCTTTCAAATATGAAACCCTTGTTACACACGCACCATTCGTACACACGTTACATTTATGTGTGTGTGTGTTTCGCCGTCTCCCCTCGCCCGCGCCATCTAACCCCCCACCCATCCCGCATGACTTAAACATTGAAGACATATCACCCGGCCGGCTGAGGAGACTGGTCATTCCGTTGCGGGATGCGGCCAACCGACCGGTGGGTCCATCGTCATTGGCGGCTCCCGTGCCGCTGCTTACAGACGAGAACGCGTACGGCAATTTTTTCGAGTTCCCGGCCATCAACCCACGGTGAGGTCTTGAAAGGGTGAGGTAGCGGATTTGCACAACGTCATTTCTGTACGATAGTTGTACACCTGTACGGCGGGTCCCTGTACAGGTGTCGTACTGATTCTGGTGTCTGGGGGGTTGCAGGAAAACAGATGGAAGGAGTAGAAGGCGGAAGGACGGGGAGATGGACCTGTCTGCCCGTAACTTTATGTGAACGGTTTTATGTGACAGCTTAAAAACTAACGTGATAAGGCGCATTACATGTGACGGCGTTATATTTTTGGTGTATTATTGTGTAGGCTGTGGAGTCCCCCTTGGTGTTCATCAAGTCATGAGTCTGTCGCCCTTCATTCATTCATTCATTCATTCCTCTTGCTGCCTTTTTGCCTTTGACTCTGCAGATTCCGGGGGAAGCCGTACAGGTACATGTACGGCACCGCTGCCATACGACCGACCAATATGGGCAACGCGCTGGCTCGTCACGACCTGGAAAAAGGGAGCAGTATTGTGTGTTCCATACCGGGAAGCATGCCAGGTGGGTTTTAGGGTTTTAGGGTTTTACTTGGGTTAAAATCCTGGCCCTGCTCTTTCCTGCCCTCCTAGAACGCGCGTTCTTTCCCTTCCCTTTCCTGCCAGCCCCAGCCCCAGCTCCACTTGGGAGCCGGCAGTTGGTCCTTCCCTTCGTGCATGTGATTCCCGTGTGAAGTCCGGGGGCCTGCTGACCGCGTACGAACGCGTTCTGGTTATCATAATCATAAGCGGTGCATCAGCATCAGGGAATATGTTGCTTCTTACCTCGTACCGCCGCATCCATTCGCATCCATGTTGTTTTTCCAACCACTGTATGTACCCTTCGTTTACCTGTTCACCTCCTGTTTTTCTGACGAACTTTTGTTTTTCCGGCAACGGCGGGAGATATTAGCTGCCACTCGACGAAACCCCCCACTTGCAGGGCAGCCCATTTTTGTGCCGCGACCCGACGGGTCAACCGAGGATGACGGAGTGCTGCTGGCCCCGAAGATCATGCCGGGCGGGAGAAGCGTATTGTGTGTGTATGACGCAGCGGATATGAGCGGGCTGGCGAACGTGGACTTGCCGTTTAAGGTGCCGTACCGATTTCACGGCGCTTACGTGGCAGCGAAGGACTAAGCGTGCGTTTGGGGTCCTGGGTCCGCTTTGCGCCGATCGACACAATGTGAACCGGAACTTGTGAGGAACAAGGTGACTTGTTGTTAAATAAGTGGGAGAATTATATTACGTGCATTTCACGATCTCACAATTTAACGATATATATATAACAAAGAGGGGGGTTTTACCGTTTTCTGTTTTCCGGCTGATCCTGTATTTTCAGGGTTTCTTGTGCTGCCAAACCAATTTAAGAAAATCTCTTGATTGTGAACACGGCAGGTTGTGCATATGCATGAAAGCGGTGTAGGAAAAATAGTTTGCTGTCTGTGTATTTGTCTTGTTGCTAATGTGTGGGCTTTTGCGCTAAGTCCAAATAAAAGATAGGCTATTTATTTATGTTGAGATTGTTTGTCAAACCTTAGTCTGCGGCTGTGCTGCTTGTTGGAGTCTGACAGTCTGCTGGTGTCCTGCGGTTTCATCATCAAGTCGCCGCTGTCACCCGCCAAGGATGGCCACACGGCCGTTTGCGTCTTTGTCGACATTTGTTGACAAAATTCGTCATGTTCGTCGTGCCGACGCACGACCAAATCACTATGATCCTTCAGGTCGCATAAATCTTGCGTGATGAAATATCTCACCTGCGAACATGGCTCTGTATCGACTGACTTCCTACCGTCAGATCGTGACCCGCGGTTCACTGTGTAAGCAATGTGCAACACAGCCCAGCAACTGCACTTCAAAAAACAGCAGCTCTCCACGTCGTTCCACCCTCACCACTTTAGGAAAAAAGTATTAACAGTAAAAGAGAAGGAGCAAGATTTGGAGGTAACATAGACGAAGTTGGTAGCAATAGGTTAGAGTTGTTGGGCTACTATAGTTGCTACCATGGTTGCTACCTGGGTAAGTGGAAGTGTTTTTTATAAAAGGGTAGCTGGTTCTTATAAAAACGGATGGACTAACTGAGCGAACAGTGAATCACGTCCTGCAAGAGATTCTACGCAATTATGTAGGGGGCCGGAACTCACCGACTTGCTGGGGGCCGAACACTGGGGCCGAACACCTACACACACACACACAGCGGATGGCGGAATTCTCGCCATCAAATCACAACAGCAAATGTGAAGCCACGGGCTACATGCCCTTCTACCTTGTGTATGGCTGCCGTCCACGAATGCCGGACGACTACGGCCTTCCACTCAAAATGAAACAACACTGTAGCAGGCTACATTTCCCTTAGAATATTTTAACGATTACTTTTAACAATAACTGTTAATTTGTTAAACGATCTGACTCAAGTTTCGTACATGTTCCGAGTTTCGTCACATGTCGCGAACTGGGCAGTTGTTCGTAAGCGAATCTAACGGGCTGGGGCCCCGGGCCCCACCAACATTATCCTAGTACGGCAAGGTCCGTAGTAGAGATTATCCGGCAGGTAGGCCGAGATATAAGCTACCCGGGCGGGGTGTTCTGGCCAGACACTGACGTATCACATTACTAGGTGTTCGGAGTTCAAGACTCCGCTGCCGCCGTCTCTAACTGTTACGTACACATCTTATGTACGCTAGTGCTTGCCGCTTGGTTGGACTTCTTCCTACAACGACGAGGACCAATAACTCCACGCTTCCGCTCTGTCAGTCCTCCCGTCAGGTGAGCGACTGCTACATTGGTATCGAGGGTCAAGTTCGATCCTCCTTGACGCGATGCGCTACAATAAGGCCGCGCTAAAGCGTTTGACTAAATTCCTTAAGCTTCAAAAATTGTATGAAAGGTACCGCGAAGCATCCCTTCAGGAACAGGACCCTACTGCGCCCGAGGCTACTGAGTCCGACGACGAAGACGAACGCCCTTTGGCTATTCCCAATAAGGAACATCATATTAATA